ATGGGTCGCCAGTGGGGTCGCGAGGCGTGATGTGGTTGGGATCGTTTTTTGAGCGCCAGTGGATGATTAGGGTTCGGAGGACATGGTTTGGGGTGAGGGTGAGGTGGTCGAGCTTCTGTTGGGTTTTGGGGCACGTTTTGTGGCCGCTGTCGATCCATCTCTGTATGTAGGCTCTCTCGTAGGTCTACAAAAGTCGAGCAATAAATGACAATAAAAGTTTATTTCGGTGCGTATTTAAGAAGGGAAATAAACTGGTTAATATGAAAAGCTTTGGGACCTGTTCATAAATTGTAAGCAATTTCCATTTTGGTAGATTGCATGTGTGAAAATGATTAGCAGTAATTAAGGGTGAGCTTTACAAGATTCACAGCTAGCTGGTTCATGTTCTTTGTTTCTTTCTTTTTCTCTTTTGCAATTAGGACAAACCAACACATGAAAGACAAGTGAAATGTGGGCTTTACCTGCCCTGTGGCCACAATCACTGGATCCTTCATAATCTCAAGAGATATAGGACACAAGAAATCAACAGGAATTGCGGGTGAATCTAATTTCTTGTTCTCTTCTTCACTTTTGCAATCCGAGCTCTCAATCGACCCGCTATCCGAGTCCTTAGGGGCACCAATCTCACATGATTCCGAAGACTTGCTCAAACTTTCATTGTCCTCGATCAACTCATCCAGCTCTCGGTTCTCCAAACCATTTGCTTCCACAAGACCTTCCATTTTTTGTCCAGTTTTAAGATCAATGATCCCAATATTCTTCAAATGTATACTGCTGGCCTCTTTATCCAACAGCTGCAACAGGGCCTGGCGTAATAACGTTAAATTAAACGGCTCTCCGTATCTTTCAGTGGCCCGTTTCAACTGAGCCCTCATTAATTCAATCTGGCACAAAACATGTTATATCAGTCATGAATTGTGCACTTCAGATGAGAATATATGCAAAGATGCTTAAAACTCACTCACCTGTTCTTGCACTTCTTCCGATATGTCAAAATCATTGTACGGTAAGTTAGCCAATGCTTTTTCCAAATACCATGTCACACATTGAAATTGACAGAAAAATTCCTCTGTCATACCATCCTTGAACCATAAATCAATTAATTAATAACAAAGGTATGCAGAACACATAGATAAAGACATTCGGATAACAATAACTATAATTCGTTCGACGGAATATAAATGTAGATTACCGAACCGATTGCACTTTCCTTGAACCGATACTTGTGTTCATGAGTTCAATTACTTCAACTAAATTATAATTTCTCTAATCAATGTGTTGTTATTGCAAACTGATCTACTAATCAATGAGTTCAATTACTTCAACTAAACTATAATTTCACTTGAAGATTTGTTCGATAAACTCGAAATTGAACCACCAACATTATAAATCTAACTAATCAGATTCAAAAGTTCAGCTTTCAATTCATTGATAATGAAAATGCTATACACATTACGAAAAAAAAAAAAAAAATCAACCCACAATACCATCAAATCACATGAGAAAATGGGGAAAAATCTAAAACTAAAACATACAAAAACGCGTCATAAACAGACTTACAGAGGAGATCTTGGAATCGTCGAAGTTGTTAGCAGCAAAGACGAGCCTTCTCGCAGCCTGAAGAGCCATTGTGAGGTCAGAAAAGCAAGCACGGTAGAGAGAGGAAGGCCCAGCCTCGCCGTTTTCTTGGGTTTTGTCGGAATCCCTAATTTCCTCGAGCAAATGGGCCAAGAGCGAGACTCTGCGACCCAAGTCCGTACAGTCCTTCTTGAAAATCCCCGAGAAGCCGGCACCGGATATTCGGACAATGTCGCGGATTAGAAGGAGGGGCGCGGCGGTGAGGCCGCCTTCCACCGCCGTGGAATCTCCGCCGGCCATATTCAGGGGAATGAGTCGGGAAGAAAGGTTTGTGAGCGCGTGGTTTTTCTTGACAACCACAATGAACTCAACATTAGCTGTGAATAGGGACAAAGTATGGTGAGTTGAGTTATGAACTTTGATTGTTTGAGGTCGTGTTATTTACTTATTTATTATTATTATTATTATTATTAGTATATAGCTGTCAAATTTCCTTTTTTAATTAATTAAATTAATCAAATTATTTGACAAAAAATTGAATTCATGTCATGTAATAGTTATAAGTTTTAAATTAGAAAATAAGATTATTTTGATTCCTAAATGTCATCACTACTTTATGAAAAATCAAAGAGTGCTATTGACTCTAATTTTTTGCATAAATATGGTTAAATCAATTCTTGCTTTTAGTTGTCAATGGATAATTTTTTTTTCTTTATTTTGGTTTATTATAAGCATTCTATATTCTCTCATATTCATAATAATTGTCGTTTCGAAAAATTGCACAGTAATTAAGAATATTTTTTTTCCTCATAATAACCCTCTTTAATGAAGATAGCGACGAATGTTTTAAAAAGAGATAAAGAGTGAACAAGAAAATGCGTAATATATTTATTAGTTAAATGAGGGTAATAATGGAAAAATATGTTCAAAATATCCAAAACGACATCTATTTTGTTAATAGGTGATATAGCCAATGACATTTAAAAAGAATATGAGGTAGTATAAGATTACTATTGTGTATCAGTTTTGCAGATAAACTAAAAAGATAAATTCAATTTGCGAATTGATAATAATAATAATAATAATAATAATAATAATAATAATAATAATAATAATAATAATAATAATAATAATAATAATAATAATAATAATGATGATGATGCTATGATTATTAAATCTGCAAATGCAATGCACTACTGCCCAACTTGGTAGGAAAAGTTCCACAACATGATTTTGTATTCACAAACAAACCTTCCTGAGAGGGCCGATTATATCATGCATTAGAATAGATGTGCATTGTCTTCAATAATTAATGGTGTGGGAGAGAGAAACTATTGTGACTTAATAATCACTATACCTAATTTCTTACAAGTAACAGCCAGACTCAATAATTAATTTACTTGGTGTTAAAAGTAGGGTTGCAAACGAACCGAGCCGACGAGCCGAGCATTGACCTTATCGAGCAGGATTGAATTTCTTTTTTTAGCTATTCGAGCTCGATTTATGAGGCTCAAGCTCGACTCGATAAGAAAATACAATAGCTCGAGCTCGACTCGAAATCAAATACTCGAGTTCGGCTCGAAAATTTTAAGTGAAATTACCCTTAAGCACTTGTGTTATACTATTTAAATATATATAAGGATTATTTTAATAATTTAATATATATCGAGCTACTCCACAATGTAAAATATGAGCTCAAGCTCGAGCTCGACTCAAGCACTCGCGAACGGCTCGTGAGCCGCTCGACTCGTTTGCAGCTATAGTTAAAACTTAGACAACTAAAATTTCCATTTACCATTAGTGAATTCAAATTTAGAACCAAAAATGAAAAAAAAAAATGGAATAAATATATTTTACACACTATTTTGATGATTTACTTTATTCTTATTTGTTTGTAGTCAGTCGTGGTATCCGGAGCTATCTCCGACTACTCCGTTGTTATTTAATATACTATGTATTTTTCTATAATTCGGCGCAAAAGATTCTTCAAGAACGAAAAACAATCACCACTAAAATCAAGAAAAATGATTTACTTGGAGAGGGGGAAGGCAAGATTGTAGGAAGCGAGTGTGGAAAATGAGAAATTAAGGATGTTTTTGTACATAGAAAACAAACAAGAGAATAATACAGTTGGATGAAGAATATTGTGAATAGGCAAGCATCTTATTTAGTTGTAAAGTTATCCACTAGACTCTCCTGTTATGCATCTCATAATAATAAATCTCTAATAATCCAATTATTGGTTGGTTTTTCAATTTTTTATTTTTTTCCTCTTTTCCTTCGTACTTTATTCATCTTCTGAAATTTTACTTATGGCTTAATGCAGTTTTGCTATGGAACAATTGGATGACTCGGTTTATGGAGTCATCTACAGTTATTCACAAATAATGTGTTGACACGTGTCCTACAATAAATACATTTTGGACACGTGTCAATACGTATCGATGGCTTCATAAAAAAACCATCCGATGGCTTCATGGAATTTTTGTAACTTAATAAAGTGACCATGTTAGATTTAATTAAGGAAATTTTACTCTAAACTTTTTTTATCTGTTTTTTTTCCTCTTCATTTCCTATTATCGGAGCATCTTCAATGTCTACTGTTGTAGGTGAGTTTATTTCGTCACGTGTCAACTAAATAATGGTGTTGTGGATTCACATCATATGGATGTTTAGTCCACGACTTTTAAAAATTTAAAGTATTTCTCAATGCAAAATGTAAATACCGCCTAAATATAATGGGATTAAAAAATATTTTGGACTTATATTTTCAATAAGCTCAAATTTTGTGCCCCACTTTTGTACAATTTGTTAGGGTTTTTTTAATTAAAATTTATTGACCAATTTACATTACTATTCTAT